TAATATAGTTCTCTCAACATCTCTGAATCCAGCTCAATTATTATCGAATCTTAGTTCATACCTTAATATATTAGAAAAACCGATTGTATCTCAAAGTGCTTGTATATCAATAATTATAGTAAACGTGTTTGTTAAACAATATTTCGACTAAAACCATTTCTCACACATTCAACCTATCCCCGCCTCATTCTTAATTGTTTCTTCAGATCAGCACTCAGTATCGATATTTTCGGTGTGGACCACCGCACGTGGTATCGATTTCTGTATCCCCGCGTATCGTGATGCGGCCCACCGCACGCTTTACGCCTGGAATTTCTGGACTAACATAAAATTCCTTTCTTATCCCGAAATCCAAAACTCGTCGCGGAAGAGTGAAGTACCGCGCGCAGCAATTGCTTCTCCAACATTTTAAACCAACCTCCGAGCAATATTCGTTATACATCGGTGTGAATACGGACCACTGAACGACCCAAGAAGATCCAGATATATTTCCAGGACATCCAAGTAGTAAGTCAAATCCTTCATAATTAAATAATTATTAGTTGTAAGACCTCTCGCCTTCCTCTTCTACCCCCCCCCCTTCCCTTTGAAAATCACACGAGGTTCCATCCTTGGTAAAAAGAGTTAAGTCTCTTGACCAGAAAACGGAACCACGAACGATTGGTTGAGGCCTCTAACAGGGTAATATCGATCTTTACGATCGTTGACCTGTTCTCAGCCAAAGAAAATCGTTCGGCTCGCGCGGTCGCCTCTCCTCATACCGACCAGCGAGCAAACACCATAAAATACTTTTATGGTTGCGTCCGCCCGTATGCCTGACCCTACCCCTTTCCCTCCAGGTTAGGACGTAACAATACTAGTATAAAAAAAAAAATTGGGGGCTCGTCCGGGATAAAAAGTGCGATTTTTCAAAAATAGGGATGACAACGAGATCTACTTCTAATAAAAACGAAATAGAAGCACAGTATCAAGCAGCCTTAAGAGGAGATAAAGATTCTAATTCCACAAGCACACCGCACACTTCACACCTTACATCGACACCTATTCCCCCATCTAAACGTAAACCTAAAGAATTGAACTTTTCGGCAGACGGGTCAATATTAGATAAAACCCTCCCAGAAAGTTCTGTGATCGAGAATAATTCCGGCGATTTCGGTGACGAGACTATCAAAAGGGTTGATAACGGCGGACCTTTAACTTCAGAAACAAAACCAAAAATAAAGAAAACCATGTCGCAAGGTAATCCGTTCGCTACCTTAAAATACGCAGTAGAAGCCATCCCATTTTTCGACGGTAAAAATATACCGTTGAGCAATTTTATTGAGGGATGCGAGGAAGCCAAAACCATGCTTCCCGAAGAAGTCGAGCCTCAATTCACTAAAATTTTACGAACTCGCATAGTAGGCGAAACCCGTCGAACTATACTCGACGAAGATTTTGATAACGTTGTCGATTTAACTAAACATTTAAAACAAATCTTCGGAGGAACAAAAACGGTTTATCAATTACAAGGGGAATTAGGGAGTGTGTACCAAAAGAATGAAGAAGATATAATCACTTACTCAAATCGCGTAAAAATGTTAGGAAAGCAAATATTAGAAGCCTATCATAGATCTGACCACGTAGTACCGAACCAAGATGTTCGAACGCCATTAGAGAAAGATATGTGTAAATGTTTCATCAGAGGCTTAAATCCGGAAATCGAACAGAGAGTCGCTCGAGATTTAGATTGGAAAAGGACAATAGCCGACGCATTACGTGTAGAGAAGGAACTTCGCACCATGACAGATTTACGACGTGGTACTATTAACTCAAATCATAGCCGCTCAACAGAAACCTGCCAAATTTGTTTTAAGATAGGCCATGCGGCCGCTAGTTGCCGAAAGCTCACACAGCTAGCAGACACTTCCAAACAAAATAATTTTGACACAGAAATTTTGATCTGCCAAATTTGTAAAAAACGCGGACATAGTGCAGATAAATGTCGATTACGCGATCCTCGAACTCAGCGACCGATAAATGTGGTACAAGAAACCACCGTATTAAAATGCCAATTATGTCTAAGGTCGGGTCATAACGCAAAAAATTGTCGCTCTAATAACTCTCACAATGGAACTAATAATTACAATAATAAGATCTCCGTAATTTGCCAGTGGTATGATAAACCGGGTCATTCCGCTAATAATTGTTGGAAGCAACAAAACGAACAATCAAATTCAAATAATCAACTTAGAGTAACGTGCCAGATTTGCAATAATTTCGGTCATATTGCCAAAAACTGTCATGTAAATTCCAACCCACAAATAAATTCCAACCAGCAACAGAACGTGCTTTACTGCCGTTACTGTAAAGAAAAAGGGCACTTACTCGAAAATTGTCAATTACGGATTACCAGTAATAATCGCAGGCGAGATAATAATAACTCGGGAAACGGGAACGACCCCTCGAAGTCGGGCATACCACAGGGGTCCGGCCAAACTTCACGCCCGCAAACATCATAAAAACTCAAGCAAAAACATCCTCGTCAGAAATCCAATCTGTGACCGTGAATTTAGACAAGAATAGTCG